TCGAAGACAGTTAAGGTATACATAATTGAAAACTTAATGCATATATTAAAATCAGTTTGCCTGAATATCGAAGGAGAGCAGTGCGGAGACTAGCAGAGGAGGAGGAGCAGTAAGCGGATGAGCGATGGTAGGCGTATGAGTAGCGGTCGGCGCTAGGAGCAGCAATAGGCGGAGCGGCGCTGGGGCGGCGGTAAGCACACGGGCGGTGGTAGGCGTAGGAGCGGCGGTACGCACAGGAGCACACGGCGGTAGGCGCAGGGGAGTGGTGGTTTCGACTAGATCTGCCCTATAATTCTTTTGCAATTCACGATTGTGTTTTATCCTCGATAGTTATTTTCCTTGTAAAAATTTCTAATATCAAAGGGTTAGACTAAAGAACTTATTACCCTTAAATTGAAGAAATTGACTTTTACATTATTCTAAAAAATGTGTTGCATCTAATTAAACATACCATTTTGTAATTATGTTACATGCGTATTATTAATAATTATGTTTATTATTTTTAGCAACACTTTCAAAATAAATGTTACATAATACTGAATAGTTGTAACATTTTTTAATAAGTGTTGCATAATTTGAATAATTTAGACGTTTTGCAACATTTATATATAAGTGTTGCATAATGTGAGCTGTTGATACTATATGTAACAAAAATAAAAGTCTTATAAGGAAAAGGTTACAAAAGTCAATTTTGTTGTAGTGTTACAAACAAAAACTTTTTCATTCGGTTCATACGTACGCCTTCTAGTGTTTAATTCTTTCAAAAACTTAGCATAGGCAGGCATATTAGTTATCATTTCAAGAAGAGGTAAGTTCACATTAACTTTGGACAACAAGTCATAAATCTCATCAAAAGATTTATCAAACTTAGAACTTCTTAACCTGTTTGGAAAAGGAGCCGGTGGCACATATGGTTTAGGCGGAACATACGGATCTTTTTCTTTGTGCAGCCTAGTCTCTTTGTACACTGAATCAGCCTCTACTGCTTTCTTCTTTTCAGACTCTAATTCTTTCTTCTTTCCAGCCTCTTCCTTCTTCGGTAGCTTGGAAATGGGCTGGTCTTCGTTTTCCTCAATTGTCTTCCCACTTCTAAGAACAATGACAACTTTTGCCTCTTAAGATTGACTCGGTAGCTTCTCTTGCACATGTCCTTGGAGAGATTCAACAATCTGCCCCACTTGTATCTCTAGCTTCCTCATAGAGGCATCGGTGCGCTGAAAATGCTGCTCATTAGCTTGCTGGTTGTTGCTTCAAATTTGTATGAAGTTCTGCAAAGTATCATCCAAAGAAGGTTTCTTTGGTTTAACAAGTAGTTGGTTGCTTTGTTGCGTGTTAGCCCGTGAGAAGTTAAGATGATTCCTTCAACCGGGGTTGTAAGAGTTGGAGAATGGATCGTTCATTGGCCTCTGATTGTATGAGTTCATCAAATGAGCTTGTTCCAGACTATTATCATGCACTTCATTCACTGCAGCATCGCCATCATAGCACACATATTCTTCATTTGCTTGGATAGCTCAAACATATAGATGGCCAGTTCTGCACTCGCACCCACTTCATACATTCCTTGAGTCTTCTCACGAACGCTCTTCTGTTGGGAATTAGCTCCAAGCATCTCGTATAGCTCTAGGGTCTGCTCTGCTATCTTATCTCTCATTGCTTCCCCAGCTGCGTTGTCAACGACAACTTGGTTTCCTTGGGTTAAACCGTCATAGAAAGTCTGATTCTAGAGCGCTGGTGAATAGCCGTGGTGTGGACATTGTGTGAGCAGCATCTTAAATCTCTCTCACGCCTCATGAAATGGTTCACCTTTGGCTTGAGTGAAATTGGCAATTTTTCTCCTCAGTTCTGAGGTTTTAGACTGAGAATATTACTTACCAATATACTTGTTGTAAACTTCTGCCCGTGTGCACAATGAACCAGGAGTTAAAGACATAAACCACGTCTTCGCATCAACTTTGAGAGTGTACGGAAAACACCTCATCCTCAACTCATCTTCGGTCACTCCTTGCAAAGGAAAATTCTGGATGATGCCATAGAAATCTCGGATAAAGATCAGCGCATCCTCAGAAGCAAGCCCATGGAAAGATGGCAATTGGTTAAAGTGAACTGTCTTTATATCATAATTCGGGGCAAGCTCACTCAATACCAAAAATTGGTCTCAATGCAGGACAGGGAGGCACCAATTGTTGGCCTCCCAAACTCTTTCATCAGTGGAGCGTCACCATTAATCCATTAATAGTAAATTGGAGCCTCCTTTTTATCCTTTTGCCAATCAAATGTACTTGGTCATTCAGCGGAATCAAATCTGGATTAAGTGACTTGCGACCAAGCATACAACAACAAAAAAACTAAAAAAAAAACAAACACAACTAACTAAAATAAAACTAAATTAACAATTTTTCAAAAACTAGTTAAACAAATTCCCCGGCAACGACGCCAAAATTGATAGACAATTTGTAAGTCACCGCAAGTGCAGGAGTCACAGTAGTAAAGTGCTCAAGTAAGGGTTGAATCCATGGGAAAATGTAACAATGTAAGTGGAAAACAGTTAAATAAAATGAAATTATTTAATTAACTAAGTGAGAGTTTTGAGAATATTTTGAATTAACACTGAAAATAATAAAACTTGAATTAAAACAGATGCAAGGAATTTAAAGGATTAAAAATAAATTGATTGATCAACTAATGTGAAATTGATTGAGAATTAAGTAAGAGAAAAATATACTCCAGGATTATGAATCAGTCACTAATTTTTAGTATTTGTGATTTAGTTAATTAATTAAAATTGAGGGTTCGTTCTAGACAAAAATATGACTATTCCGTATGGCGTCTAGAATAAGTCACGTATTTTAACTATTAATCGATAAATGATTATTAATTACATAGTTAAAATCCATTAATCACAAAAGAACTACTGAAACCTGCCCTTTGCTGCCAAAAAACCCTCCGCTAAAACCTTGCTGCTGCGTTTTTATAGCCAAGGATTACAGCTGGTTCAAGCACTTTAATCCTGAGTTTTCGGTGTCGTTCAAGAGTAGGAGTCCTGGGACAAAAGTTTTTTAGATCAGAGATGTATTTAAATATATTAGGTTACTAATTAGTCAATTAGGTAATCTAGTTTTGGAGAAAAGATAAGGTCCTGAAATGTTTTGATAAGGTTTCTAGAATAAAAGTTTTATTTGAATCACACCTGAATGAATGGAAGACATGTTGAATTCATTTAAGGCAATGGATAAGGAATCACTATCTGAAGTAGAAGCATTCGAGTGGTTAAGGTTCTCTTTCGATGATGTTGGTGTGTGGTTGAAGGAGAGGACAAGAACGCTATCTACAGGGCTGGTATAGATTGAGCAAGTTTCACAAATGTGCTAGAAGTTACGCAAATGTCCTAATAGTAGGCGGGAGACTCACTCAAGTGAGAATAAAAAAATAGAAAGATAGATTCCTGAAACATTTTAAAATAAGGTTTGGAATGAAAAATGCTTTTTATCAACACATGCATAGTTGTATTATCAAGAGTAAGATTTGCATATGTACTCATCAACTCTATTAAATGTGATTGATGGTCGGTCAAGTAAGGACAAAGTCGGAATGTAGTACGAAAATTGCATTAAGTAAGAGTACAAAAAATGTGAATTTGAAATTAGTAGTACTATATTATTGTTTCACTTTCTAATTAAATATCATTATACAAGAAAACCTTGTGAGATAGGGGGATATATTTATGCATTGACCATGTTTATAAAAAATAGAGGTGTCGTTTTAACACTTTCAATCTATATACACATATATACATTGATGGAGTATATGGGTCTGAGCCCCAGGACCCACATACTCGGAAGAACAGAGCACAAGACAGAGTGGCGCCCTCGTCGGCCAAACGCCCTCGTCGGCCAAGACGCCCCCGTCGGCCGAGAGGAAGCCAACCCGGATTATGATCCCGAGTCCAAGGAACCCGGGTGCCCCCGTCGGCCGTGCCCTCGTCGGCCGTGCCCTCGTCGGCCACGACCTCGTCGGCCACGAGGACCTCCCAGAATCGGATCCTACACTTACTCACTTGTACAGCCCATTAGTGGCTTTGTATTCGGCCCAGTAGCGGTCCAGTTGTAAATGGGCCTCCCAAGCCCAAGGCTTGGGAGCCCAACCCTAATTTTCTCTATAAATACTCCCCTTGGGAGTAGTTATAGGGGGTTACAAATTCATTCTATTGAAGCATATTATTGCACTTCTCTCTCTAGCTCTCACTTCTCTCTAGAATTCAGGAGATATACTCTATCATACATACTTTGAGTGGTGTCATTCGACACCATAAGCTAACACTTAGCTCCGCGGCCATGAGTATTGTTTTTAATTATGTAGTATATTTTAATAAGAGTTGTATGATGATTTGTTGTGTTTTCAATATATAAAATTTCGCATTCAAACGTTATGAACATATATCGTTACAATTACACTTATAAGTATTTATTACATAATTTTATTTAGCAATTAGATAATACATTTCATGCAACACACACATGAAAATATAACTGAGTTTTAATTTCAATGAGATTCATATTTCATCCCAAACATTGCGAGTAGAAAAGAAGAAGGGAAGGTGTTTGTATACCTTAAAGTCAGTGGCATTTTCGTAATTTAAGTGAAATCCACAGCTTATGTTAAATGAGTATTAATGCACTTCTAGTGATGATCAGACTTATTTTATTGAGCACTAAAAGTCAAACATTGAGCAAGGTTGTATCCGCTAGTATCAAATCTGTTGATTTAAGCAGCTATAAGCTAACAGATAACTTCTATTATCAAACATGACCATTGACATTTTTAATCTTCTACTTTTGAAATCAAAGTAGAAGGACTAAAAACGTTAATTTCACAACATTAGGATATTTAATGTCGGAAATTCTAAAATAAAGAACAAAAAATTCATCCCTCACAAAAAATTGAACAATTTCTGACGAGAACTTCTTTTTACCAATATGGTAATTTGGTAATTTGGCGACCGAAGAGAAGGGCGAGACGGGGACCCACGTGGAATGATATGTTCTCTATGAATCTTTTCTCCGGTGTCATCACCACCTCTCTTCAGTTCCCTTTCCCATCGTCTCCGTTGAGCTTTGGTCGAACGACGTCGTAGAGGAGCGAGGACGAAGAGGAACCATCATACCTGGAATGCCAAAATTCACCATTCTTCTTCTTTTATGATTTATACTCTCTGCATCTAAACGCCAAAATCCACGCTTTATCTTTCGCTTCCCTTCATTCCGAACTCGAGTGTCAATAAGGGTGACGGCGTCATAGGAGAAGACGAGATTAGGAAAATGGATTCGATTCCGTCGAGCGCTGCTCATGGGAATCTGGATGAGCAGATTGCTCAGCTCATGCAGTGCAAACCCTTATCAGAGCAAGAGGTACCCAGCTCCCAAGCTCTTCTTTTACCTTTGAAATTAGTGATATATAAGATCAATTTTTTGAATTTTTGGCATTCTTTTCGTTTCTATGATTCTTGTCTGGGTAATTAGTTTCAAGATTGCCTGATCTGAAACAATAAATTTGCTGTCAAGATTTCTCGCCCTTGTTTTCTTTCTTATATGGGGGGTTTCCTAGTGCTAATATTTGGGGGTCTATGCATCTGGGAATCGCATCCGTTTCTCCTTGGGTTCTGGGTGAATTAGAAATGTCATTGTAACTTGAAAGTGAAAATAGAAACAATTGATCCTTCTCTACTTGCTAAATCTAAATCTAAAAATATTTTGAGCTTAAGAAGGAGATTGATTATATCTGTGAAATTGATACAACAACAACATTATATCTGTGAAATTGATGAACGTTTTAAATTTTGGATGCATTTATTCAGTGTGCTGCAATCCTTAAGTTTTGTTTAATTCCCGTTCTTTCTGTTAAACCCTTCTATCTGTATATAATTCTGGTTCTGAAGTAATGGAAAAGAAAAATGCTATCAACTTGTGTAAATGACATTATTGGATGAACTTTAATTATTACCCAAATCTATACAAAGTAGAAGGCTTGATATAGAAGCTACCTTATAAAATTCTGCTGGCTTTCTGTCTTCTGCTTTGATTGTTTATTTTCCATTTTCCTTATAGAGCTTGAATTTCTAATAAGCACTACACTGCCTGAAATTCTATGTTCATTTTTAGAAATAATGTATCATATGTTGTAATGCATTATGTTCAGCCTTGGAGGTACTATATCTTCTTTTTTCTATGGATGACATGTATTTTATATTGAGGTTCTCACTGCACATTAAGCTGAAAGGTATTTATTGAGAATTATATCTTGTAGCATGTTGCTGCAATATTTTCCCATTTGGCTGCTCCTCTTTCCTTCAATAAAGAAGCCACCAAAATTGTCTGCTTTAAACTGTAGGTAAGGGTGCTCTGTGATAAAGCAAAGGAGATCCTGATCGGCGAGAGCAATGTACAAGTATGACATCTTTGAGAAAAAATATCCCCCACCCCGTCTTGGCACACACAGAATATAGATTACATGTTTCCTTAATTTTATTGTATAACTTCATTCTGGTTACATATTACGTAGGATATTTCTGGTATTTAAGAAGGGATAAATATCTCAATATTACTAAAACTCAAAACTTTTCCTAAAATATGACTATACATGATTTTTTATGTTTTATGTGACCAAACACATACATGGGGTGGTTACCATACTTAACTAATTCCTTATTCGTGGAGCCATTACTACTCATGGAGCCTGACATTGGAATGTTAGATTAGGAATAAAACTATTGGAGTCATATATTGAGAAAGATATAATGTTTTAGTAATATTAGTGATAATTATCTCATTTAAGAATACAAGATTTACCTTTCTCCCGACAATCCTCTAAACAGGGTCTCATGTTATTATCACTTACTATTATTGTTAGTGAAGGGGACTAACTTTAAATACTTCTATTTAATATTATTTTGATCCTTAAAGTCCCTGTTTCTGATCTGTTCGTCCAATTTATTGCTTTCCTTGAATATTCCTAATTACCTATGCATTATTTCATCATAGTATTATTTCATGCATTCGTTCTTTGATGAGCTACAGCTACTCACTACTGAGATGTGACTACTACCATATTATTAGACTGAACTCTACATGCATGCATGTTTATACCTTCTTAAATATCAACAATTACACGTTCAGCAATATATAGAAACTTAGAAAAAGTTACTTCCTTTCTGTAGCCTGTGAAAAGCCCTGTGACCATATGTGGTGATATTCATGGGCAGTTCCACGATCTTGCTGAGCTCTTCCGGATTGGTGGAAAGGTATCTTCTTTTAGTTATTTGATGCACCTTCTGTTCTTGTGTTTTTACATTTTAGGGTTCACACCCATGCAAAATTTATTATATTCACTCAAGACTTCTGTAAGTCTGCTATTCAATTGTTCAAATTCATAAATAATTGATTAGCTTTTATATCCATGTGCACCAGCTTCATATTTTTATAATCCTGATTATTAGAAATGGTGATGTAGGTATTTTGAATTCCATTTACTTATACTCCAATACTCCATATAATATAATATGTTACTATGTCTGATATTTGTCATGGGGTATAAGCGTTTCTTCCAACTCTCAGTTACATTCATTATTTTAGCACTAGATATTTGCTTGTCTACACGTTCTTATTAAATCTAAGGTTGATTTAAAGAAGCAAAATGATTCTATTTTGTCTCTTATGACTAAATTTAGCAGTTGGATTTGCACCAGAGAATGTAAATTTTACCTGACAGCATTACCCAATTTTTTGTTGTCTTTGTTTCGATACTATAGCGTGTGTCTCTATGTTGTGTGTGATTAGTCTGGTTAGAGTTTGTACTGTGATTGGTTTACTTTTGAATCCTTAGGTATTCCACTGTCCCCAATGCAAATGGTGACAGTACTAGAGTAGTACTCCGTATATGTTAATGGAGTTTGCTTCACACTGTTTAAGATTTTTCTTTTCTTATTTGTAGTGCCCAGATACCAATTATTTGTTCATGGGAGATTATGTGGATCGTGGATACTACTCTGTGGAGACAGTAACAGTAGGATTCTGATTTTTAATGTTTCGTTCTCCCATTTTTTGGTCCATTTGTATTTAGTTTGTTAAACATGTAACTCCAATCCGGCTTATTGTTTTTTCTAGCTTTTGGTAGCCCTCAAGGTGCGTTATCATCAACGAATTACAATCTTGAGGGGAAATCACGAGAGTCGTCAGGTATGCGTTAACTTCCGCTATTAACATTTCAATATTTAACCTCATTTCTCGGTCTCTCAATTGAGCTGGTTTAATGATCCCCACATATTGAAGCTGAGTGATAGTTGAAATCATTTATCATGAATAATCTTTCAATATATTGTTACCTCTTCATTTTGACTCTTCCCTGCTTTTATTTTGACTATAATATTATATAGTCTTCATTTTAAATTGAGTGAACTGATGGCCTGTCTTTCTTGCAGATTACTCAAGTTTATGGGTTTTATGATGAATGCTTAAGGAAGTGAGTTGATTGATTAGTCATTCATGAATTGTAATTGATGTTAAAAATTTCACGGGGATATAAATCAAAATATGTGACCATTCTTTAAGTAGATAACACCATTGTATCTGTAACCATTCTTTAATTTTTAATGGCTGTGTTTAATAGAATCTTTACTTACGCAACAAGGTTTTATTGGGAGTCTATATTTATAAGGTAACACTGGTTAAATGTAATTGGGACATAGTCAATAAAGACTGGAAAGAGCCCTATGAAGAATAAAATATCTATGGAGTGCCTTTTGCAGTTTGGTCCTTTATGCATCAAAGTGTTTTAAATGATATTTTTCTTTGGTTTGTTTGTCTTATGCATAACTTTTGTATCCTCTTTTACTTTTTATCTAATTATTCTTCTGTCCCTTGGACACTTAATACTTGAGACCAGTGTTCATTCCTGGCCACTTCATTTTACAGGTATGGTAATGCCAACGTCTGGAAGACATTCACAGATCTGTTTGACTATTTTCCACTGACAGCATTGGTTCGTATATCATATCTTTCTGGAATCTTTTGTTAATTTATGCGGAATGTTTTCAGCTCCTGTATATAAGTGTAAACGGTATCACCCATTTTCCAAAGGATCCGTATGTGTTTACTCATGTCAGTAGTTCAGAACTTTGGATGGCATGATATTCTTATTTCCACTATTTGTAAAAGAACCACTTTGAGTTAGAAAATGGTCATGGGACAAATTTTGTGCTTTTCCATCATTTTCAATGGAGCCAAAGACTCACTATTTTTTGGCTTGGGAATATGATGGAATAAAGCAAAATGGCTCACTAAACTGTCTGCGCTTCTTTGTTATGAAGTAACGGTCAGCCTATGCAATTTTCGACGTGATTTTCACTCCAGGTCATTCGGAAACAGTCTCTCTGTACTTAGTACAGGGGTAGGACTGCGTACATCCGACCCCCCTTACCCCATTGTAGGTGGGAGCCTTTGCGGCACTGGGGTAATGATGATGATGACTGCTTCATGGTGCAGTATTAGTTTCTATCTTTAAAGAAACTATATTCCCTTTATCCCATTAGTTTAAACTTACTAATGTCATATGGGAAGTCCCAATACAGAGAGGGCCAATTGAATACCATTCAAGTATATAATGGTAATATAGTTTTTATAGTTTTAATACTATTATAGCTTACTTTTCAAGTTAGGTTTAAGGTTAAAGTTTCCTATTCATTCCTACAGGTTTAGGTTCATTATTTCGCGATACAAGCTTTGTAATGGTCTGTAGAATCATGAAGTTGCAAGTTCACAGTTATGCCAGTGAAAGTTTAAAGTCAACAAATTCCATTATTTCTTCTATTTGTTAAAATAATATTAGTCCCTTTGGTTAGTACATACAACTCTGACTTTTGATAAAAATCTGGCTTGTAAAGCTTCATGCCAAATTTTATAGGTTGAATCAGTTAATGAAACCAAAGACTCAAATTTTTCCATGCCAAATTTTTCCATCATTTGCAATGGAGTCAAAGATTCCCTATTTTTTGGCTTGGGAATATGATGGAATAAAGCAAATGGGCTCACTAAACTGTTTGCGCTTCTTTGTTATGAAGCAACCGTCAGTCCATGCAATTTTTCACGCGATTTTCACTATGGGTCATCCGGAAACAGTCTCTCTGCTTTAGTACAGGGGTAAGACTGCATACATCCGACCCCCCTTACCCCACCGTAGGTGGGAGCCTTTGCGGCACTAGGGTAATAATAATGATAATGATGAATCAGTTAATGAAATCAACCCTACTTAATAAATGAGCGTTGTAACAAATGTGACCTTCTTTTGACAGATGTGAACAATTATTGCATCAATAGATGTGAATGTGTTTCCATGGGATCTTTTTTGGCACAGTTTTTTCATTGTATTTTTCTAATTGTAAAAACTGTTTGGTAGTTCGAGCCTAAAATGAAAGGGAGCCTTGGCGCACTAGTTAAGGTATTGGTGTGTGACTGAGATGCCACGGGTTTAAGTCCCGGGAGTGCCCTCTTGCTAACAATTGGAAGGGGAAGGCTTGCCCCCATGACACCCTTGTGGTGGGACCCTTCCCCGGACCCTTGCCTTGTGGGGATGCCATCGTGCACCGGGCGCCCTTTTTAGGTTGAGTCTGAAATATTTTGTCTTCATGGTGGTAATAATCTATTCCATCAAAAGATGCTAATGTGTCTATTCCATCAAAAGATAATAATGTGTTTCCATGCGATCTTTTTTAGCAAACATTTGTTTTATTGTAATTTTCTAAATGTACATTTGTTTGCTAGGTCGAGTCTGAAATATTTTGTCTCCATGGTGGGTTGTCTCCATCCATTGAAACACTTGATAATATCCGTAATTTTGATCGTGTACAAGAAGTTCCTCATGAGGGTCCCATGTGTGATCTCCTATGGTCTGATCCTGATGACCGTTGCGGCTGGGGTATATCACCCAGGGGTGCAGGATATACATTTGGCCAAGTAATCCTAAACTTGCTTCTGTACACTATTTTCTGCCTGTGTTTTTTCATTTTTGGTATTCAATTTTGTTATTTGGTCATATTATTTCAATTTTGCAGGATATATCAGAGCAATTTCACCAGACTAACAGCTTGAAGCTTATTGCTAGAGCACACCAGCTGGTTATGGATGGGTTCAACTGGGCTCATGTAATAATATATCTATAGCCTTGGTTTCTCAATGTAATCATTATTTATTGGTCATTTAAAATGATTTTTTTTTTCTTTTGCAGGACCAAAAAGTTGTTACCATATTCAGTGCACCAAATTATTGTTACCGATGTGGAAATATGGCATCCATACTCGAAGTTGATGACTGCAGAGGACATACTTTCATTCAGGTCTCTCTTCTCTCCTTTTTCAGCCGAATGGGATCCGTTTGAGTAGTAATTCCATAAATGATCATCATGTGGAGTGGACATTACTCCATTACTTTATGGATTGAACCAAGGATATGCTTTTTTGCTTACACCTCAAGTTTTTGTAATTACAGATTGACTCTCGAAATACTTGTTGTTTTACAGTTTGAACCGGCTCCAAGGAGAGGTGAGCCCGACGTAACACGAAGAACACCCGATTACTTCCTATGAAGACTTGAAGATTGTGATCAGATGGAGCTCCTTTAAAATGGCCACTCTTTATGCGAGTGGCTTCTTAGGAATTGATAGTGTTATAATTTCTTGTTGAGGTGAAAGGTGGGAATGGCATAAAGCATGTAGAACCAAACAGGAATAGGTCGGGTAGACTGAAGTGGGACTTGGATCTGGGATACCGGTACCAGCCTTGGATGTAGGGGGGGTTGGGGACCAGCAACCACCGTGGTCCATGCCTAACCCGTATGCTGCTGCTAGCTTTTGTTCCTTTCTTTCCATTTGAAGTCTTTAACTTGTTATTTTTTCTTGCATATTCTTGTTTCTTGTAGAAGATGATTATTTTCTGACAGTAATATTTTTCTTTAATACTCATAGGGCGGCCGGTTAAATAGTTGGGATGTTGTTAACTGGACTTGCGTATGAATCATTTCTAGGAGAATCAGTTGGCCTTTGTTTTAGGTATCATAAGACTTTGGGTATGCAAAAAATCTTGAGCTTGTTTGTATTATTTTTAAATATGAGAGTTTGTTTGAACCGTAAGTGGCGTTATGATGTTTACTGTAATAAATTCCATATTTAGCCATTTCACGACATAGTTTCAATTTGTCTTACCTAAAGATCAACTCTGGTCACTACTCACTATAAGGATATGATCTTTTTTTGACATAACTACACGGAGGGAAGAGTTCTAATAAAAAGACCTCTTCCTGTGCAAAGTGCGAAGATATGCACTTTTTCATGTTTCGATTGCACTTTTTTTGTGTTTCGGTGGCGAAAAAGTGTGGTTTGTTTACGAAATTGCCATCGTGATTTTGGTTGAATTTAGTGCTTTTTTGGTTAATTTTGAGCCATTAGATGTGGAAATGAATGTACAAGATTAATTCTCACTTTGCATGAGAAGAGCTCTTTGTATTTGAACCATCCCCACTATACGGATATGATCAATATTCTTTTGACCCCCATTTTATTCTTTTAACTTGCTTTATGAATAGATTATTGTATTTCAAAATATTTGTAAAATGAATGAATCCAAATTTACCAGAATATTTATCTGGTAATATTCAACTCATGAAATTATTAAATACAGTGAACTGACTATTAATAACATTCAAAGTTGAGTTGATGGAGGAAAGGATACCAGAATAAAAGAACCAATTAATAAAAATTATTCTGAGATTTAGAAAATACCAAGTTTACAAAGAAACAATAGAAGAAACTGATTCCTCATACTCATAGTCATACTTGAATCCAAATTCAGTGAACTGACTATTAATAACATTCAAAGTTGAGTTGATGGAGGAAAGGATACTAGAATAAAAGAACCAATTAATAAAAATTATTCTGAGATTTAGAAAATACCAAGTTTACCATGGAAATTAGAAAGCGATTGAGAAAAGTCAGATTACAAAAAAAAACATTTGACGGGTTGACGCCTTGACGGCAATTGAAGAAAAATATGGTAAATTAAAAACTAAAACGAGTTATAATATTTGGCGAAAGACAATTTAAGAAATAATAGATTCAATAAATAGAAAATAACTTTCTTTCTTACAACAAGAGATAAATGGGTTATTTATACTTCAATAAGACATGAAATTTAGAAAAATATCCGTCTTTCTCTAAGAACTTCTATTCTGACCAAACAATTAGTTAGGAGGAAGAAATGAAATTTATCTATGATGAGGGGGAGACAACCATTGAGATAAAAAAGTGTGAATGATGAACTTTTTACGATTTTTATTGTCATGGTACGACATCTAACACTGTTCGTACAATTATATGTTTAAGACTTTAATATTAGACCAACACATTTTAGATACTAAATTGCCTCTAATCTTCACCATCTTTTCACCGTTCATGAAGGAGGTGAGGAATGAACTATTTAGATAATAATCTAATAATCAGCAGTTACTTTAATATTTAGACCAACACATTTTAGATACTAAATTGCCCCTAACCTTCACTATCTTTTCACCGTTCAAGAAGGAGGTGAGCAATGAACTATTTAGATAATAATCTAACAATCAGCTAGCAAGTGAAAGTAAGTTTTTTTTCTTAAAATAAGAAGAGCCGGATCAAAAGTTACTTCATTCACATTCTCTGGGTTCATATATATTATTGCCCATTTCATTAGTGCTCTAACTCTCCTCCTGATTTAATAAAATTACATAAAGGTCTTTGGTTTATAAAATTTTAAATAAGTTCTCTATCAAGCTTTAAGTCATACAGATGACTAAGAACGTTTGTGCCCATATTTTAGAAGTTTATCACTGGTATATGACCATAGATTAATTTTCCTAATTAGCTATTGTGATTAGGGGTATAGTTAGGGGGCCAACCCTGACTCTGTCTCACTCCAAAATTTAAAAATGTCTATATTTTTAGTGTAAAAATTTTGTGTAATTTTTTTCCCCCAAAAATATTATTTGTACTGGCCTAGTTCGACTCGGTGTCTTGACTCCGCCCCTGATTGTGATCACTATAACATATGATTAGTCATTCAGTATGCTTAAAAACCCCACATTTGTTCTTTGAACTTTTGGTTTATTAATAAATTTATCGTTATTTCAACATATCATGAAATTGCCAAAATGATGATCAGTATGCTTCAAATACCCACAGTTTTTTATAACTTCCTTTATTAATATATCTATCGTTATTTCAACATATTCTAAAATTGGAACTCATACGAATATCTGTGATGGTGATATTGAAGGGTACGCACTAACCATATCATAGACACACTACCTGCTGATGAAAGATGACTACTTCTGGCAGAGTCAGAAAAATGGTTGAGACGGGTAGAAACTCAACCTATATTTAGAATGAAAACGATGAATCATTTTTAAACAATGACTGAGTTGAATATTTTATATGCAATTTAGATAAATAGGCATTCGTAGCAATAAGATATATTGTCTTTACTATGTTTTTGAGTCGTGTCACGTAAGTATTAAGTGAATTATACCTTATTTTTTAAATTTTGAAAAATAATCTGTATTTTGCGTCAAATTTTGCTGATTTTACGTTTAGATAGTGCTGATTTTTGAGAAGTCATAACTTTTTAATCGTAATGAGTTACAAAGGCCATAATATATCAAATCGAAAATATTTCAGAGTTTTATACTCTCAAACTTTCAGCGGGGTCGGCTGACCACCCTGACCCCCTTGGCTCCACCCCCGACTACAGATCACAGAGAATGAAGCAAAACTAATATTGATAAGTTGTCCCCGCATCTCTTCTAATTTATAAAACTACCCCAAAATCTTCCCAGAAATGTCTTCATTTTCCACCATCTTCTCTAGTTTCCTTCCAATCTAATCCTCTTGCGCGTTACACAGCTCTCTCTCTCCCTTTCACTTCAGAACAGGCTCTTTTATTGTTCTCTTTATGAGTATGATGAATTGATTTAGTACAATTTAAAGCACCCTGAAACTGGCTTCAAGATCCAACCTTTGCCCCGGCCCAGTTCTTGCTCGCAGAAGCTTTTGAAGATCAAATCCATTTACTAAAATGAAATATTGAGATAGGTTTGTTCATACCCTAGCAACTACAAGATCCTGTAACGGAAGCATACTAAGCAACTTCAAGATAGATCCAGATTTTCCTTGACGTTTTTGGCTATGGAGTAAACAGCTTAGAGGTGAGTGAAATCCTTCACTGCTTCAATTCATTATAGTCCAATATGGAAAGCTTTATTTAACATTAGAGTGTAATGTTTGGATTTGATTTGTGGTTGGGGATAGGGTGTATGCTGTTGCAATGAGAGAACAGAATCCAATTACAGATCCCATCGGCCAGAACATAATAAAGCGGATTAGCAATGTCTGTTTTTCATTTTTTGTATTCTCTGTGCTTATAATAACTGTGATTGCTGTCACATATCAACCTCCGGATCCATGGGAATCTGCAAGAGCATTGACTAAGGTCTTCACTGCCGTTGAAAATGCCACTTTTAAGCCGGATACTTCTGTCCTCAGAACTGGAGAGGATATGGTTTCCATCTCCCCATCAACCTCGCCCTCATCTGCAAGTGTACCAATTACAGAGGACATAATTGAAAAAACCGAAGGGAATCTCCCAAATGTGACGTTAAAGACGAATTGTGCAGATGGAGATGCAATCAACTGTTCTGATCCCAGAGTCTTGGTCACCATTCAGAGGTTTAACATGAAGAGATTCAAATCCCTTGCAATTTTCGATTACCAAACTCCGGTTAATGGGTCTCAGCCAGATGAGTGTGATGTGGCATGGAGGTTTAGGAACAAGAGAGAGAAGTCATGGAGGAAATATAGGGATTTCCGGAGATTCAAGATCGGATTTTCCACCAATTGTAGATACAAAGTTGCTCGTGTTGGGAAGTGGCATTCAGGGTTAAGTGCCCGTCCTCCAAGAATTCAAGTGAATAATAATAAAACCACTAAAACTGGTCCCCGATCAAAAATTTCTCCCCCAATTCAGGATGATGAGATCAACGACACAATCCCAGTCTTGGAATCAGATTTGGCCTTCAAAACTGGGAAATATTTGTACTACTCTCGCGGGGGTGACTATTGTAAAGGAATGAATCAGTTCTTATGGAGCTTTCTATGTGCTCTTGGTGAGGCGCAGTTCTTGAACCGGACATTCGTGATGGATCTTAGTGTCTGTCTCGCATCCACTTACACCCAGAGCAAGAAGGATGACGAAGGAAAAGACTTTCGGTTCTACTTTGATTTTGAGCACTTAAAAGAGGAGGCTTCAATTGTCGAAGAAGCAGATTTCATCAAAGATTGGAAAAAATGGGACAAGACGCACAAGAAGAAGATCCCTGTGAGAAAGGTGCCTGGCTATAAAGTCACTCCAATGCAGCTTAAGAAAGATAATAAAAGCACGATAATATGGAGAAAGTTTGATGCTCCTGAGCCTGAAAACTATTGGTATAGAGTTTGTGAAGGTCCGTCCGCAAAGTATATCCAGAGGCCTTGGCATGCTCTATGGAAATCAAAGAGGTTGATGAATATAGTCACTGCCATTAGTGCGAGTATGGATTGGGACTTCGATGCAGCCCATGTTGTTCGTGGATATAAAGCTGAGAATAAGGAGTTATGGCCTCGTTTGGATTTCGACACTTCACCCGATGCCCTTGTTGAAAAGATTCAGAAAATGGTCGTGCCGGGAAGGAATCTTTATATTGCTACGAACGAACCGTTCTATAATTACTTTGATAAGCTGAGGCCTCACTATAAGCTTCACCTGCTTGATGATTACCAGTATTTGTGGAGTAACACTAGTGAGTGGTACAATGAGACGACATTGCTGAACGGCGGGCGCCCGGTTGAGTTTGATGGGTATATGCGGGTTGAAGTGGACACCGAGGTTCTTTACAGGGCCAAGACAAAGGTGGAGACTTTTTACAACTTAACCAAAGATTGCAAGGATGGGATCAACACATGCTAGGCTGGCTCCAGATCTTATGTGAATTCATGTACCACTATGCATTGTTATTATATCCTCAAGTTTGAAAGATATAATGAGACATAAATTTATCACAGATGTGTTATTTGCATGGTCTGTCTATTGATCATATTGGTTGTGACACCACTTTTTCATGACACATGTGTGACATATTCTGATTGCTCTATTCAATTCATTTGTTACCTTCGGTCGTAGGATTGTGTTCTAAGAGGCTCTAGGCAAAGAGAGATGGGCATATTGCTTGGATGGCAATACGTGACTTAGTGTGGAGTTGGGCGGAACATAGCTAGGATCATATTGGGCTAATTCGGGGGCAAGTGATAGGTGGCTAAGGGAAGCCTGGCGCTCAGGCATGTTTGAGAGTGAAATTTTAAACCAAATGATATGCCTGGTGTCTCTGTGTTTGGTAGAACTTGATATGGAAATTAACTTCTCTGATGTTCTAAATAATTTGTACTCCATAAGAAAGATTTTACATATATTTATTATTCTTTCTTTGAAGTGTTCTTTTTCAGCTCATTTTATTTATAATACTACCTCCGTCCCGTTGGAAGGTTCTCATAGCAAAACGACACGGTTATTTAGGCAATAATTAAATAAAATACTTCGAGTGTATTTTGAGAAAAAAAATTAATAGATATATATTATAATGTAGTTAGTATTGATAACTGTGATGTTATAAATGTATTATTTTTAATATTTAATGATTAATTTGTCACTTAAGATTATTAATTGTTTCCTAAAATGGAAATGAGAACCTTTATATGGGACGTCCAAAAAAGGAAAGTGGGAACCTTCTAATGGGACGGAGGGAGTATTATTTAGTAACTAAGTATATTAAGTTAGAGCTTGTTCCATAAAAATATTGAGCTTTTCAAATTTGGAAAGTTCATTTGCTTATCCTAAATTAAGTATTACAAATTGAAGTGAAAATAAGAGAATTGTAAATTAGAGCGAAAAAAAGATCTAGAGAAAAGGGTCAAATAAGGTCTTCTACTATTATGAAATAGTCACATAAGGATATGTACTCAATAAAGTGTTATATAAGTACCTCTACTTGTAAAAAACAATTAAATGAGTCCTAATGACCTATTTAACACCTCTTAATCCCGGTTTCAACGTACTTCTAACCATCTTTTTAGAAGACATTATAAAATCGACAAGTAGTTAACTAAGATTGGTTGAAATACAAGTCAAAAAAATCGACATGTAAGCTAAAATCATGATTAGGAGGTGTTAAATAAGCCGTTATGACTCATTTAATTGCTTTATACAAGTGGATGTACTTATATGACACTTTATTGAGTACATGCCCTTATGTGACTATTTCATAATAGTAGAAGACCTTATTTGACCCTTTTCTCAAAGATCTATCTTATTTCAAAGGTTAACTTTTATTGTAAGACGAGATATGTCAAATAAACGTTAATCACTATTTAATGAATACGATTAGAGCTCGAGCAGGTTTTTGAACCAAACTAGAACTGAGAAGTAAAAGGACCTAACTGCCTGTTTTTCGGGTCGACGTCGGGGATAGAACTTGTTCAAATCGGTTTTTATGGTTATGCAATAGAACCGGTTTTGAGTTATTTGTTGTTTAGACATGCTAATGACTTGAAAATAATGCAATTAGAATTCAAATACCCTCCTTACCAGTGGCGGACCCACTAAGGGTCCCAAGGGGTCCCGGGACCCGTGCACCTCGGAAAAAAACCCTATATATATTATATATATTATTTAAAATTAATTATTCAATGTATATATAAACACAAAACAACTTTAAAACAATAAGAATGGTGTAGCGGAACGGTATCATGTTCGAATCCGTTGGAGTATTTTTTTTTTTTTGGCGTTTTTTCTGCGGGAAAGGCACGGCCCAACTTAAGCCCAAAACAAAAGACCCAACCCAGCAGCCCCTTTTCCTTTCACGCAAAGACCCAGCGGCAGCCCTCTTTTCCTTTCACGCTTTCACGCAGCCCCCAAGTCCCAACCGCGATTCTGCTAAGCGGCCAAACTGCCGAAGCCCCCTGCGGCCCTGTCCCTTTTTCCTTCCACGACGAGTGACGACTGACCGAGTGACCGGCGACGACAAGCAGGAAACAGCCAGCCGCCAGCGGGCCAAGCGGCCAAGGCGCCAAGCCAAAGAGCCAGTGAGCCACCAAGGTATTTTCTCTTCTTTTCTCCATTAATGACGTTTCTCAAGCTTTTTGGTGGATTTCTTTATGCTCAAAAATTAGGGTTTTCAAATTTCAATTTCTTTGCATATCTTTTTTTAATGTTAGATTAAATTAATAAATTCATGTATTTATAAATGTTATTTTCAATTTTATACGATTTAGGATGAAAAGATATTTTGATGTTGTACCCAAATTTAAAGAAACTCAAAGTACCGGGAGTAGTTCGGGTGTTAATTCAAATGATCCGCCATTAGTAAATGAAGAATTGGATCAAATAATTGTTGTAAGCGAAGCTAATTTGACTTATAATTTACCTGATTGCTTAGTTACATATGTTGAGAGAGATGTTTTTGGTACTATTAGTGATGATTCTATTATAGAATATTTCCAACAAATGAAGCCTAGGAGAGTACATCTATGGAATTGTTGAATGACTTTTATATGTAAGTTTTTGTTTTGTAATATATTTTAATGTTTTGATAGTGTACGTTAACTTTGAAGTGTTATACTTCTTTAATATTTTTTTATTAGTTTTACATTAATTAGAGATCAAAGATATGTAAGGGTATGGACCTTGTGGCTCCGACTTTCTGGGTCCGTCACTGCTCCTTACCCTTGATTTCTTGACCAGAACTAGCCTTACGGTTGATTACATATTTGGGATTTTGTTGACATCCTGAACTTTCAATGTTTCCCTCCATTTAGGGGTGGTCTCGGTTCCGATCTGGTCCCGGACCGGACAGTCTGGGTCATTGCTTATACTTAATATATATTAAGTATATATATTAAATTAAGTGTATATCTACTTATTTATTATAGTGTATATATATTATATCTACTCATATTTATTATCTACTTAATATCTACTTATTATATACTTGTTATTCACTTATATTTACATATATTACATCTAATTAATATATTAAGTATATATATTAAAGTATTAAATACAAGTGTATTACTCATCTTATAGTAGTATACTTATATACTATATACTATAAAGGGATAAGGCTCAAATTAGACACTATGGTTTCACCAGAATCTCATATTGGACATTAAAGTTTCAAATTGACCAAATTAGACACTATGGTTTCATATGTATCTCATATTGGACACTAAAGTTTCATAATTCAATATAAGTGAGTGTCCAATTTGATCTTTATCCAATCTAAGTGAGTGTCCAAAAACTATGAATTATGAAGCTTTAGTGTCCAATATGAGATATATATGAAACCATAATGTCTAATTTGGTCCATTTGAAACCTTAGTGTCCAATATGAGATTCTGATGAAACCATAGTGTCCAATTTGAGCCTTATGCCTACTATAAACATTATATTATATATCAGTTACACTTTAATTAATATTAGTTAAATGTATCCTAGTACTTACACAATCACACTCCCATTAATTAGTATACTTTCAGACATTTTTCCTATTAGTTACATTTTTCATTAATATTACTCACTGTTCTAAAAATCGTCTAGGCGCCCGCCTAGTCCCCGCCTAGACGCTAGGCAGTGGTCGGGCGCCCTGATTTTAATTTAGGCGCTCTGACTAATTGATTTGGCGCCTAGGTGAATTAGTCGATCATCTACGACACCTAGTTGCCCGTCCAAAGCGCTTAATCGGCTGCCTAATCGTCTAGATTCTTCGAACATTTTATTTTTCTTTTTTATTTTAGTATTCTAAAAGATATATGTACCTTTAACAGCATTTATGAATAAAGTTACTAGTTGTGGATTAAGATAACAATTATACATGTTTTGTTGGAATATTAATTAGTATTTCAAATAAAATTTGTTTTAATTAAGATTATGATTAAACTATTTGCTTTGACTGGTCTTCCGAATTTTCCATGGAATGCACAATTAGTTGGTGACCATTTTCTTGGATAAGCTTACTCTTTCCACTTTAAATATTTAATAGTTTGACAAATAAATTATTTGGATAATATTTTTAACACTTCCTAATAATTTAATTTTTGAATTGCTTCCACTTTGATCGAGAAAGCCTGTAGATCCTAAAGAACAATTCAACGAGGTTAGTAATTTATTTCATCAATTATATAATGGGTTGCATGCACAATATGGTAATGCACCCCCTCCTCCGACACGAAGATCTTCTTCATCTAAAGGAATATCATTTTTGAAATCTACATTTGGCAATCTTATGAAAAAAAATAAAAGTGTAAAACAACTCCAGCTGTTACACAAAGCTCAGTTAACGAGCTTTCTTTATACTCTGTATCTAATGTTTTCTGTTGACTATGAAGACGGGGATGACTTTGAAGTTCTGCAGTGGTGGGAGGGACAAAAAAAACATTCCCGGTTTTATCAAAGATGGTTAAACAAGGGCTAGCAATGCCGGTATTAACAATTACTATGGAACAAGAATTTAGTGACGCCGACATCGCCCTAACAAATTATAGAACGAGATTGAGCGCAAAATCTATTGAGACGTTTGTTTGCTTCCACGATTGGTTGAAGACCCAACGTAGAACTCAAGAACTTAACATCACCCCCACCCGCCACTTCATGAGGGAAACAACAATAGACGATGCCAGAGATTCCGACTTATTATTACTTATTAGGAATTAGGAAATGTATTTAATGTTTTAAAATTTTCTCAATTCTCAATAGTAGTTCATATTTCAAATAAATATATTTTAATTTTTTATTGTCTAGCACTTCTTGAATTTATTTTTTAACAAGATTAAAAAAAAAAAGCCCAGCCCGGCCCGGCCCAAGTCCCGGGCAGGTAGCCCGGCCCGGTCCCGGTTCCAACCCGGGCCAGTACCAGGCCTTGAACCCAATGCCCCAGTCCTGTCCCGACCCGTCCCGGAGCCCGGTCCGGGCCCGAGCCATCCCTAGTTCAATGTTCAGTACAATTCCGTTCAGCATTAAATACTTTTTCAATTCTAGATTAGGATTTAGGAAATACTATCGTAATTACATACGAAGTATAAAAATGAATGCCTTAGTCTGAGATCATAGCATTTTCATAGAAATAACTATACCAATTACAAGCAAAACATGTGTCAGAAAAAATAAATCTTCACGTATTTCCTTAACACACAACAAACTAAAATTTCACGAGCAAGTAGGGAGCAATTGAGAGAACCAAATTCGAACTTCCATCTCCGTCTCTTCCCATTAGAATCAAACTTTGGACATCAACATACTTTCTATCTGCTTTATTCAGAAACTTTTCCTGGGAAGGCAAAAACACAATACCATCTTAACATAACTTTCAGATATACCTTCTCAATTCAACTACAAACCCACCTACTGGAGCTAAATAAAATTATCTCATAGGAACAAATCAAACATCTATTATAATTTATTATCTAAACAAAAAAAAAACATAATAATTTCACAACTACAATTACAAAATAATTTTGCTTATTATCAAACATATCGTACTAATTAGTACTCTGCAACAGCCAGAAACGTCATCATTTTTTTGCATTAACTTGGATGTATAACAACGATTTCAAAGCCTTAATCCCAAGAGATTTTGGGGTCAATATTCACTTGGATGTATACTATGATAAAAAGTCATTAGTTAAAGTTAGCCAAAATACTCCCGGTTCTATCACCCGTGTTCAAGAGGTTGATTAAACATAAAATAACCAAAAAAGGAAAGAAAAAGAACCTTCAATAATCTGGTGATCATACTCCCGTTATAGAATGCAGCAAAAATGCACTAGCAGTACAGTTCTCTCAACCGTGTTCAAAAGGTTTATTAAACAAAAAATAACCAAAAAGGAAAGAAAAAGAACCTTCAATAATCTGGTGATCATACAGGGACGGTCTGCAATCTGATATGTTTGTACTTTTGCTGGGTGTTAAAGCACCTTGCTGACTCTGTTAAGCCTTGGGACACAAGTTGCTTCAAAGCATCAACCCCTTCTTTTAAGGCAACATCGATCTGTCAAAAGTAGAGTCATAAATCTCTCAATCACACGCGCACAACTGCAATTATTGTTTTTTATTGTATGATGATTTTCTTGAAACGATTATAATGTGCATCAAATTGACAATTCTAGTAGTATTTTATAACTAAGTCACACTTGCTGAAAATGTCAGAGATATGCTCAACTTAAAGCACTCGTATGCTCAACTTTAAGTGTTCAACTTATAGTCTTCATTGGTACTGCAAAAAAGACTCACTAACACCACCCCAAAATTTTGTCCTGACTTTCCGTTTTAGAATGCCCAAAATTTTCTTCCCATTTGCTTTTAGGGAATGATTTCAGTGGTTAATATTGTTTCTCTTCTTTTTGCACCACCCTCAAACATACAGTTTCACTGGTAATAAGCGTATCACGTGAAATTGTTTTTTGGATGGAGGGGACAGATAATTAATTACAGAGCAAAACATACAAAAATGAGCATACCCGTTCCCTCCCAGTATCATTAAACTTTTGAAGCAAGAATGCTTTGGGGTCCATTTGACCAGCAGGTCTTCCAATGCCTGATAAATAAGAAGAGCGGGAGTATTGGACATACCAGAGAAAGATAAAACAGAAAGAATGAAGGAGCTTGGAAGTTAAACCAACCTATTCTTAATCGAGGAAACTCTTTGTTTCCGCGAAAATGATAAATCACACTCTTCAACCTATAAAGTTAAGAGAGAAAGAGATCTTGAAGATAATGATTCACATCCACAAAGCTGATGCTAACATTTTAAGCATTGTTCAGCCCTTTCTACAAAGTAAACAGATATGAGTGAATCTTGAACTGCTCAAGCCTCAAACATTGCAAATAAAGTGGCTATTGGCTTCACAAGAAAAACACCAGGTAAGATTCATCACATAAAAAGGAACATGATAAATTGCAACCTATTTATTATTTAAAGCACAAAAGGTTTTCCTTTAATAAGATATGAATCATTGATTCTTGAAGTATTGCACACAGCACACCCAAGTATATTTGGGGTTTTAGATCTTAGCTTTACTCTAAGAAGACCACTCATTTCGAATAGAGATAAACACCTTCTGGTTTACTCGTGTAGAGTATGCATATGCATACAGCAATAAGAATAATTGATAATAATGAGCAAATCAGAAGAGGAAGCAGAATTTCAATCACTTAAGCAGCACGGTTAGGGGAGACAGGTGGGAATGAGCATAAAATTAATGCCCATAGTGTTACAGCACTGTTATATAGTGCTATTTTATAGGTGGCTGAGACATCTGCTTTTCTTGATCCAGGAAGATAAAGAGGTACTAAAAGAAAAAATCAAGAGTTGAAATTAACTACAATGACCTCAATATGCATCTATACATTCATCATGATAGTGCACTTATGTGAGTACATCCGGAGATAGTACGCATACCCATTGTGACTATGATGACCTCCTTTAGGGTTGAGACGAAGCACTCCACATGGCAAATTCATATCATCGTGAAACTACATTTAAGGTGCCCCACAACTTATAGTCAATTCAAATACAAACTAAAGGATTAAAATAGTCAAAAGACTATACCACAATCACGCGGTTGAGCGGGAGCTTATAATATGCAGCAAGTGGTCCACTCTAACAGAAAAAATGGAAACTTAATTGTCATCATCATCATTAAATTACTTTCTATAGGACCACACAAAAGATGTAATTTTCTAAAGAAAAAACTGATTCGTGAAGGGGCTACAAACATAAATTTCAATAACCTACAGATTCACCACTCAAATTCATGTAAGTTTGGGGCTTGGCTAGAAATACTGGAACTCCATTGACTAAACCTGAAAATAGAAATTTGCTGATATCAATCAGTTTGAGGACACACATAGGCATTTATGCAAATATGCATGAAAGCAACAAAACAAAAGTGGTAAAGCCAAAACTTGGCTGAAAGAAACCTTTCCCAAATATAGCTTTGCAGTGTATATCTTCCATTGGGATTCCAAGGGACTCAGCAAACACATCTACCATTTCAAACCCAACCTGCAGGGAAATAAATATGATAAATGTAGGCATGTAGCCCAAAAGACATCAAACAGTCCATTTCCACAAAAGCTTGCAGCATACATTGTGTCGTGTTCCCTTGTACTTATCACCAGGATTGCCCAGCCCAACAAAGAGCCATGGATGATGAGAAGCAGAGCCGAAGCTACGTCTGCATATCCGACTAAGCATCTTTACTCATCTGCAATAAAAACTTTCTCCTTGGAACAAGAATCCAAATTTACTAGGTTTCATATTCATGTAGAAAAGAAAAAGATATATACACACACACACATATATATATTGAGATATAGACTTATCCTCACTTCTTACTTCTTAGCATAATAGCATCCGATGTGAGTAAACAAGTAGATATATATGATGATATGAAGTTATCCAGGGCGGGTCCTAAGAAAACCGTAAAATGGGGCCCTGTGCAGTGAAAAAATGAGCCTTTTTGCCTAACACAAGTAATAATATAAAATAAATCAACATTATATTAGTAAGCTTCTCATATCCCAATGGTATTTCTTTGGAAAATGGAAATATATTACGGAGTAACTAATTTACTACGTAGTAGCAATTATCATAACCCTACTCTAATCGTAGTTTGTATAATTACTAAATTAAAACCCCCAAAAACTAAAATTAATTTACTTATAAATTATTAGTGTATTACAGTGTATAAACTTGAAAATCTAACAGCCTTATAACATAATATCAATTTGTTAAACTGAATGACAAAATTACCAAGCTAATAACTTAATAATATCAAATTTAACCTAACCTGGACTCGTGGGCTACGGCTTGCTGTATTTTATTCCGGCTGCGCGATGCGAGATTCGAAATGTGTCAGTTCATTGCCTCAATGACTGCTTAGCTGCGTGACTTGCGTCCCAGCGACGGCGCGACCCTGTGCGTTGGCCGCTGACACGTTTGTGGTCCGTCGACTGCCGAGTCTCCTGCTCTCCTTCAGTCCTTCATTCGTTCGTGGGAACTGGAGAAGTGGACGAGGGGTCTCCACAGGTCCAAAACCCGACCGGACCGGACCGGATCGGAACTGGAACCATCATTTTCTATGGACCGAAGATCGGGTCTGAATCTAACCGGTTCAGATTATCCGGACCTGAATTTTGCGGTCCGATTTTGACCTTAATTGACCCGGTTTTAGAAAAGAACATATTATCTTAGACCGTTCTTAACCAACCGCAATTTTTTTTAGAAAGAAGGCATGAATGTTATTGTTTCAGACTATAACTAGTATAGTACCCGTGCATACGCACGGGAAAGAGCAGTTCGTGCACATATTTTTATCCATTATCTAATTAAATATTAAAATAAAAACAACATTTTAGGATTCTACATTTTCGAAAAATAAGAGTTCAATAAGCTAATACCATAAAATATAAACCCATAAAGTATATATTGATTATATTCAATGAAGAGTATATTAGAAAAAATTAATCGACATCATTCATTAGAATTTGCTACTTATTCATTTTCATGATTAGACTAATTTTAAAATTAAATACTATTCTAAAAAAGTGAGTACAATAAGTGAGAGACATAAAATTTAAGTGAATACAACAAATATTGAAATTAACAAATATTAGTTAAATAATAACTTGCCATTCATTAGTAAAATAATGCTAACATATGTGAGAGAAAATCACTTTGTTCAATTCTTAACCGATTTATCTTGTTAAACCTAAAACAACTACATTTAAGGAAAAAAATTCTCTCACTCAATTGTTAGCCGCATTATCTTATATCTAAAAGCACTATGTATTAGAGAGAAAATTTTACTCTTTAAGCCTTGTTTGGTTCAAAGGAGGAGAGGGAAGAGGGAGAGTCAAGGAGGGAAGGAAAGGGAAGGGGGGGGGGGGGGGGGATTTTGATAAAAATTTGGGGTTGGTTGGAGAAAATAGGAGGAAAGTTTTAATAAAAATATTTTTGCAAATTACCTTTATTTAATAGCTTACTTAAAAAATAGATACGTGTCTAACTATTGTGAATATTACTCCTATGGTTATGAGTCATAAATTTTTTTTGTGAATAATAACAAATTTTTTTAGAAAGAAGGCATGAATGTTATTGTTTCAGACTATAATTTTATGTGCCAATATGCTAAATAGACTAAATAATTGTTTAAGTCATTTATTAATTTTGGAATATAGTCATCAAAACTATTCAATCGTACCAATTAATTTCCCACAATAATTAAAGAATAAATGACCTCTATATTACTACTAGTGTTTGCATTTCCAAAAATATACTCCCTTCGTCCCGGAATTGTCTTCATTCTTTCCTTTTCGGTCCGTTCCAAATTTATCTCCTTTTTCCCTTTTTGGTAAAGAATATGTGATTCACAACCATTCTTACACATTCTCTCTCCTCTGCATAACTGTCCACCACACAAATCCCACTATCTTAAAACCCGTGACCGGTCAAAACCGGAGTTAAATATGGGACGGAGGGAGTAACAATTTTTACAGTTTCCAGAAATATGACTCATTTTTATTACATATGGAGCAGTATCTCTATCGTCCCATCTTCCCCGGAAAAAGTCATCCATCTTCGCTCCCAGCGAAGAATCATCGAACCAACAGTGAAGCATCCAGCGAACTTGGAACTCCGATCTACAACATCTCCATCGCATGTACCTACAACACCGCCATCTTCGCTAGGCCGGCCGAACCTGGGGTCGTCGTGACCTCGTTCGTAACCCTCCCTTCCATTCCAGAAGCTGGAAGAATAGATTTGGTCTGCTTTCCATTCGATTTGTTTCCTCCGCCGCTCGCTTCCACCGCCGCCTGGTGTGCTTCGTGTCGTCGTCATCGGCGACCTTTCATCTTCTTCTCCCTTCATCGGTCTAGATTTCGATCAGGCTTTGGAATGCGGCGAAGGCAGGGATGCTCGAATGTAAGAGGCCCTTCCCCCGGTTCAATTTCAGTTCGATCGAATTGAAATTCCAGATACTCTGAGTCCTGGAAGGACTTAATTTCCCTTTTCCAGGTTTTCTCCTACAGTCTGCCAAAGCATAATGGAAACAATCACTGAAATTGATGCATAGCACTGCCACAACGCCACCCAGTCTATCTTCTGATTCTTCCCAGTCTTCTTCCTGGGATTACCTTTGGACAGGACTTGAACTTTTTTAATTTTTAGAAGAAAGGTAATTAATTACTATTAATCAAATCATAATTCAGTACATCAACAATAAAATGAGGAGGACTAAATAACCAATACTAACAATCAGACATAGAACTCGCTGCCCTTGTCATCGCATGAGCGGCTCGATTCGGAGATCGTCTAAGATGAGAAAAAGACACACTGTCAAAACTTGTCTTCAATTCTCTAATATCATCAGCTAAAAGACCAGAATATGATAAAATTTTCCCATTTTGAATTTCCTGAATTGCTTGAAGAGAATCTGATTCCACCTCAATCAAATTCCAATCTTTATTTTTCAGCCAGTTAAGTGCTTCCCTGATGCTCATTAACTCATACTCTCTCCGTCCCCCTATTATTGTCCCATTTCTTATTCACTTGGTCAACACAGATCACTCTTAATCTCTTATTTTATGTATCAAATTTTTATCAAATTTGATTCTGGTTTTTGCGACTTTGTAAATCTTATAATGTGGTTTCTAAATATGCAATTTTTTTTTTAAAATGATTTGAGTGCAAACAGTGATCTGTTTACTTTATTGTCAGTCAAACATCGTGAACCGCAATGGGACAATAACAGGGGGACGGAGGGAGTATCATTTATTGAATTACTCGTATCATTTTTTGGGGTTATATTACTTATATGTATAGACATGTATTCCCTCCGTCCTGAATTGAATTGCAAACTTTAACCGACACAAGGATTAAGAAATGACAATAAATGATGCTTGTTTTTTACACTTTTGCCCATCTTTCTAAAAGTATGTGCCTTTAAGTTAATGGGGAAAAGGTAAAAGTAAGGGTAAATTTGTCACTTTATTCTTATTTACATACCTAAAATAGAGAGTGTAAAACCATTTTGGGACAACCGAAAAGGAAATTTTGCAAATCAAATTAGGACAGAGGGAGTATGTACTAATTTACATGGAGAAATACGTGTTGGGAGGCTGGGAGGGGATCTGAGGATAGGAGGGGGCGAGTGCAGGGGAGGGGGCTGAGGTTCAGGGGAGGGGTTGGGGTAGCAGTGGAGGAGGTTGGGGTAGCAGTGGAGGAGGCTGGGGTTGGAGTAAGGGGCTGTAGGCTGTCTCACGCGATGACGGAGGTGTCGAGGCGGCGGGTTGATGGTTTCTGGCGAAAATTTTGATGGGGAAAATTCGTCGGAAAATTTTCCGGCGACATAGTGACACCTTTTCCGGTACAGTGACATCTAAAAGTGACATAAAAATCAGTAGTGACATTTCAAAAGTGAGATAAAAATCTGGTAGTGACATACAAAAGTGACATAAAAACTCGACAGTGACATAAAAAATGATAGTGACATCATACTTTTCCAAACATGTGACCTTCTTAGTCACATTTTTGTCTTTTTATAAAAAAGTCACTTTTTTGGAAATTGGCTTTAGATTAGTAATATTCAAGGAAAAAGTCCATAATTAAAACTACAATCTTTGGTGCATATTAAAATCGCAAAATGTATTGGAGTAATAAAAACTAAATTATGTCCAAAAATATACTACGTATAAACTACATGCACACCTGCAAATAAAGAAACAAATAAAAATCAATTTGGAAAAATCAAACAAATACAAACTACGATCATAGTACTGCACACCTGCACATAAATAAACAAATCAAAAACAACTTAGGAAATAATTAGACACCGAATATACATTCCGGTCTCCGTATATATTCGTTTATATAATAAAAGACAAAAGTAAGCCATAAACACAATGACTAATAATAAAGAACGAAATATATATATTACGGAACAATAGTTTACCGATCCATTCCGGTCCGGATCTGTTTTTCCCGGGTTTGACCCGGACCAGACGGAACCCGGAAACTTGAAAAACTAAGGACCGAATCCCAGACCGTTAATACTTGTCCGGTCCGGTCCGGTTCATTCCGGTCTGGTTCAGATCTAAAATACAGTTCGACCTGGTTAATGTGCAGCCCTACCCGTGGTTCGTTCGTGCGTCACTTATGTTCAACAAGTACTCCGACTTAGGGCTGCCGTACACTACGCACAAGTACTCTGTATTTTTTAAGAAAAATTCTAGGGGTAGGTGCGGTTCGGGACGGTCTGGGATTTGGGTTATCCCGATTCGGTTTTATAATAACAGTCTGGTACGGTTCGGGATAAGTCTTTATCCCAATGTTGTCCCATTTAAAACGGGACCGGGACAACCCGAGAGAAACCGGGACGGTTCGTGACGTCCCATAAAATATACATTTGTAAATGTGATATAAAAATAAGCATATATATAACATCAAAATAAAGACGTAACTTTTTTTCCAAATTTATCTTCTCTAAAAAGTTAAGTAAAACCTCTAATTAACTATTTTTAATTATTGACTTGTCATTTTTTGTCTCCCCTAATCTTGTGTTTCCTCTAGTAGAATAGTAACGCAAAATATTTTTGTACTTTGTAGTACACTTATAATTTTTCAATATCACATTACATTAAATATCATATCTATAAAGACTATTTTTTCTATAAAGACTATATATATATATATATATATATATATATATATATATATATATATATATATATATATATATATATATATATATATATATATATATATATATATATATATATAGGTTTTGGTTCAAATAAGAACATGATCTTGGGAGAGAAATGAGAACGAATCTGGACCGTTAGATTTGCTTTAAGTGAAATTCAATGTGCATTGGATGAAATTGAAATGTGCAACACAACACACACATATATATATATATATATATATATATATATATATATATATATATATTGTAGTAGTTATTTTGGAAAATATTAAATGTATAACCAACACTATATTTTGGAGTAGTAGTTATTCCATCATATATAATATTCCGCACGTA